GAGTCACTGGACTGCCTGCCCTGGAGCGTTCCCCCTGCAATGCATGGTCACTGGCAGCTCCTGTCCTGTACTCTGCACCCGCAAACCCCCAGACTCAGTCCTGCAGCACCCACCTGCTGCAGCGGGGTGTCCCCAGGGTCCAGCACTGCTCAGGCAGCTCCTGAGCCCTGGGGCAGAGGGGGAGGGCAAAGGATCCCTTTACCAACCCCACCACTTCACCCAACCCACCCGTCTGCTGGCACATCTCTTCACCAGTTACTGAAATATGTCCCTCCCACAGAGCGCAAGGTCACCCTAATTTCTTTTGCCCCGTCCCCAAAGCCAGCTGGTCCCCCAGGTGGTCCAGGGGGAAGGGGCTGCACTCACCCTGCAGCAGGTAGTCCTCGAAGAGCATGGCTGTGTCCCCCACCAGCTCCAGCAGCCCCCCGGCGGGTGTTCCCTGGCCTCTACCTCGCTCGCACCACCCTGCACTTTGCACGGGGCTGACGCACTCTGCTCCGCACCGCTCTTATCTCCCAGCCTTGCCGAAGACGGTGGCTCCGGCGGCACAACGCGACATCCTTGTTGGCCTAGACCTGCTGCAGGCACCCTGGGCTGGGGGCCAACCCTGCTGCCAGTACAAGGGGTGACATCCCTAGTCTGGGGCTTAATGATCTTTGGTCAAGCCCAGGTCATGTTACCACTACAACTCTGGGGAGAGAGAACACAAAACAGGGGCAGAAAGGGGTGTAAGACTGGTAAAAACCATGACAAGTCGTGTTCGATGCCACCTTTTATTGTGCACACTTTCTGCCACCAGCTTCCAGGCTCAGCTGAGCTTTGAGGAGCCACCCAGAGAGAGGCAGCATGCAGGAAAACCTGCCTGGCTGGATGCAGCCCCTTTGGAGACACCTCAATGGCCGGTGAGCAAGGAGTGAACCAGTGCACAGAAATCCCTGTGCTGCCCAGGGCTGGGACCTGGCGGTGCTCCAGGGCTGACCTCAGCAAAGGCAAACCCGGTTGTATCTTCTCCACTGAGAAGAGTTGCTGAGGTGACACTTACTGAACCAAATCCTCCCATGGCTGCTGCTTCTGCCGTGAGCACCAGCAGCAGGGGGATGAGGCACCATGTCCGTGATCCCTGTGGTCACACCGATGCCACCCCACACTCCCCTCTGCCCATGCGCCCATCAGCCCCACTGCCCTCTCCAGCCCCGTTGGAGAAGTTGTGATCCAGAGGAGCCGTGTCCCAGTCAGGGAGGTTTATCTCCTGCGTCCGAGGCGGGCCATCAGCTCAGCATTGGTGGCTGCCTTGGCCTGCAGCTCCTTCTCTCTGGCCAGGTCAAGCCGGATTTTCAGTACGTGAGTGGGGACATCAAGTGACAGGGCCACCATTCGTGCCTTTTTCCCAGGAGCAGGTCTCTTGATGGCTGGGCTCGTTAGCCAGTGCAATGCTTTTTTGGTTGACCCTTCTAGCAGCAGTGGTCTGGCTTTGTCCAGTTGAGACCCTTCCCCAGAGTCACGCTCACTCATTTCAAGGAGAGCCGGCAGCATCTCGTTAGCGCTGGTGGTTTCCTGCCTTGTGGGCTTGCCTCCATCCCCAGCTTGGGGGGCCAGTGGGGTCTGGGTCCACTCATGTCTTGGCCCCTTCCAGGCTCTCGACGGTGCCCCAAGGACCACCAGGAAGGTGAGCAGCATCCTGCAGTGCAGCACGGCCAGGAGTGCCTGTGGGGAGCACACAGCCGGTACTGAACATCGCCCCCCCAGCACACTGCCATGGCCCCACAGCCCCCCAGGCAGGACACATCCCTGCTGTGGTGCCACATGCAGAGCCCCCGCTCCCGATGCCAGCTGACCATGACCGGCACAATGAGGGTCACCTCTCTTTTGGGGAGCCTTCAGTTTTCCACCCTGATTTTAACCTTTTTGCATGGCAGGGGGCAGTTCTGGGGAGTCTGAAGGGGACATGGGAAGCAGATCAGCTGGGTGTCCCCCTCCTTTCCCTCAGCCTGGCCAGACACTGGCTGTCCCCTCCATTTCACATCCTCCAAGCCTTTGCTGCCCAGGAGAAGCGACATTCCCTCCCAGGGGGATGGCAGCGTGGGGACCTGCCCTTTGGCTGGGGAAGTGTGATGTGCCCGGGGTTTTGGGGCGAGGTGGGCTGAAGGGTTTTCCTCCTCCCACGCCTTCCCCAGCAGATGCTGTCCCCCCCACGGGGCTGCTGGCCTCTCTTGGACAAAAGTCACCCTACTGGGAGGGACACGAGCCACTTAGCCTAAAATACACAGCGGGTTGGTGGCAGAGTGACAAGGGCACAAGTCTGGTCACGTGCACTGAGCTGTGCCAAGTTTTGGCATCTTCCTCTGCCCCGGCTCCTGCCCTGGTGCCAGGGAGTGCCCCAGAGGATGCAGGGTGCTGTGCCGCGGGGTGGGAGTCAGTGTGGGCATGGGGACAGTGCCGCACAAATCCTGCTGTATGGCTGCCTCTCCCCCAAGATCAGTCACCTAGCGGGGTTTGCCCAGCTGGAAGGAGGGCAGTGAAAGGCATCCAGCCTCCTGCCATCTCCAGGGTGAAACTCTTCAGAAGGTACCAGACTGGGCAGCTAGAGAAGCTGGGAAGAGAGTTGTGAAAAGCATCCAACCCCCGCAACCCTTTTCCCAGCTGGAAAGTACCACCGAAGGGCGCAGCCTCACCATTTCCTGCAGGTCCTTGTCTCCTGATGTTAAGGTGACGCTCCTGGGGTGTGGGGACCACGAGCTGGGGGGTTTGCCCTGCTCCCTGCCAAGCCCAGGCTCTTATCCTACTCCCAGCTCCACCTCCAACCCATAGAGAGGGTGACGATGACACGCAGGGGCACACACACACATGAAGTTATTAATACATTTTGCCTAATAGCAGATGAAATCATCCCAGGCCGTGGGTGGACATTTGCCCCCTCAGCTTCACCCACTGTGTTTGGAGGGGATTCCAGGAACCCAGGGCAGCTCAGGCATAATTATTTCACATCTGACTTGAGGGATGGTTTTTATCCATATAGTTGAGCCTTCCTGCTCCTGTCAGCCTTGGTTAATCCCTTAAGGAATGGAGAAAATGCACACGTCTATCACTGCTACCCAGCGTTTGTGGCACAGACAGCGAGTGCAGCCTCCCTGGTGTTGTGTCGCACGAGGCTCCCAGCCATCTCCCAGTGCTGGTTTGGTGCTGCTCCCCTGATGGACTCCCTGCCCTGCCCAGCTGGGGGACATTGCTGGAGACACACCACCTCCCTGCTGTGCCAACCCCAGAGCACTGCTTGGGCCACTGGTTTGCAGCCAAATGCACCAGTTCAACCAGGACACCACTGGTTTGCAGCCCACCTCCACCAGTCCAGCCTGGCCTGGCTCCTCTGCCTGCAGTGGGGAGCAGCCTGCAGGTGTTGCTGGGGGCTGAGTCCCACACAGAAGGGTTTTGCCCTTTTCTCAGTGGCTGTGGGAGCACCCAGAGGCTCTGAGGCCAGGCAGGCACCCAAGTGAGATGAGTTGGTAGGTGCTCAGCCCAATGGACTGGCCAGGGCAAGGAGCCAGGGCACCCAGGGCAGGAGCTCAGGCCACTGGGGGTCTTGCCCACCCTTGTGGCCGCAGGGTGACGCGTCCCATGCCAGCAACCCTGGCAGCAGCAGGGAGAGGAAATAACACCGCCTCTGTTCCTCCTCCCGGGGTTGGCCACAACCTCACCCCCAGCAGCCAAAATTAGCCACGGGCACTGATTCACCCAGTGCATCACACTGCACCACAGTCCCGCGTGCCAACACGTCACAGCGCGGCTGGGGGGTCATGGCCTGGGTTACGGCAGCCAGGCACGTGCCGGGCACAGGGATGGGACACCGGGGTCCCCAGGGGGGGATGACGAGCCCCAGCCAGCGCTGCCAGCAATGAGCAGCTGGGAAGGGCATCCCTGGGGTGAGCAGGGGGCATATGCTTGACTCAAGAGCTGGCCCCAAACCCCAGAGGCACCTCCAGCAGCGCACCAAGAAGCATGGCATCTCCCCATGAGTGCAGCTTTAATATGCACCCCCACACGCATCGGTACACATATACATTGGCTCTATACAGATATACACAGAGAGCAGTGGTATGGGCAACACAAAGCCCGCCCAGCAGCCCACAGCCCCTCAGGGCCCTGAGGTGGTGGGGGGTACATCCTCACTTGGCCATGGGACCAGAGTGGCTGCAGATCCTCAGGAGCCAACATTGCTTTCACAAAGTCTTTGAGTGGGAGCGCAGGTGAGCAGGAACCTCCTTTAACATAGCACCATCCTCAGGGTTTCCCTAACGGGATAGGAGGTGCATGTGCACACCCCTGGGATTAAAGACAGACGTGCTGCTGGCAGGCGTGCGAGCTGGATGGTAGCACATGGAGAAAGCCTCCATGCCCCTCCTCCATCCCTGCAGATCTTTGCCAAACCATTGCAGCCGCAAAAGGGGAACTAGGTCCTGATTGAGGTTAAGGTGAAATTTATTCAGATGGCGCTGGTTGCAGCAGGGGGGTAAGGGATGGTGTGCAGGGAGGCACCACCTGGTCCAGGGATGGGGGCAGCCTCCCCTGACAGAGAGCAGGGAGGCGGTTTAAGGACCCATGGGAGGGCAGGGAAGGGGACAAGGGTGTAAAATAAAGGGAGCCCAACCACGCCAAGTTCCAGCTCTGCTCTCCAGCAGCTGGAGAGGGGGCACGGGACCAAGCACCATCCCACTGGCAGCAAATAAGTTAAAAATCAAACTGGGAACAGCCCAGGAAACCTGCCCCCTGCCAGTAGGAAAGGGGGGGGGAATGGTTTCCCAATTGTTACAAATTTCATCTTAACAGGCGATAAAACTGATATGAAAGGACAAAACCCATGAGCAGCAATAAGACACGTTAGAAATAGCACCAAGTTCCTGCCAGGGCTGTGGGGCACACTGCCCCTGCCACCGTGGGCAGCCCAGCCCCAGCCAGGGCACCAGCCGGGCCCCACTGCTGGGCAGCCCTGCCTGCTGAGACACTGCCTACGCCTCCGGCTGCCCTCCCACCTTGCCATCCGCAACGCCGGGGGTGTCTGCAGAGAGAAGTCAGATGGGGTCACAGTGGAGGCAGGGGACCAGCATCGTTCCCCAGCTCTGCATCAGCCGAGCCCACAGCACCGGGCAGAGATGCTGCCAGACCTGCAGGTGCTGGTGGCCATGCTGTGCCGTGCCTACCTGCCCCTGGGCGCTGCCCGCAGTGCAGCTCACACTCCTCCTTGCTGTCGAAGCGGTTGAGGTTGCCCTGGCAGCCGCTGTAGACGAAGGGTCGGCACTCGGCGACTCTTTGGTTGTAGTACCACCGCAGCGTGTAGCGCTGGCAGTCCCCCTCATCCAGCGGCAGGCGGCAGAGCTTGGCTGTGGGGGCAAATGGCAATGGTGAGGGCAGAAGGGGAAGGCAGGGAATGGCTCCCAGCTGAGAATGGACAGGGTTTGGCTGGAGAGGACATTTCCATGCTCTGTCCAAGCACTGGGAGTGAGGGCAGGAGACACCACTCTGGGAAAGCCCTATCCCAGCAAAGATTGGAGATAGAGCTGGGAGGGAGGTGGCATGGGGACATGACAGCCACAGCATCCCTTCAAAGGGTACTGGAGGGACCATCTGCATGCTGCAGCTGCTGCCAGGGCTTCCCTGCTCTCCTGGGGGCTTTGGGATCCTCTCCTGTGGCTCATGACCAGAAGCACAGGAAACCTGCCAGGGGCAGCAGGTCCCACTGGCCCAGCACACTCCCATCACTGTCAGAGATGTCTTCAGTGAGGGGGACAGAGCACAAGGTCTGCACAGCGTGCATGGCACAGCGCTGCAAAGGGAACATGCGCCCCACCTGGGTGCCAGCCAGAGGGCTGCAAATTCCAAATCCCCTCAGCCAGTGGGCACAGGTACCTGCTGCCAGGTGGACTGTGGAGGCATCACCCCAGCAAAGCCTGGGCAGTCCCCTCAGTCACCCCCAGTGGCTCCATCCTCAATGCCAGGCAGGCACAGGGAAGCTCACCACTCATCATAGGCTGCTCCGAGCTGTCCATCTCTGGGACCTCATCGTAGTCCTCCTCCTCCTCCCCGTACATGCTGTCATACTCAAGGTCGTCTGTGTTGAGTATGACCTGCCTGTCCTGCCCTGGGAGATAGCACCGGGTGTCAGCAGCCTTGGTTTTCCCCTCTGTCCTCTCCCCACTCTTTCGCTGAAGACCCCTGGGATGGGCAGCATGGCTACCGATGGATCACCCCTCAGTGCCCACGAGCAGAGGGCAGGGACGTGACTGGCCACAAACATGGAGCAGGGGAAAAGGGAGATGGGGACTAAAAGCCCAGGGATGACACTCACCCTCCTCTTCCTCAGTGTGTGACAATTGGAGCACAGGGACTGCATGAGCGCTGCCAGCGGGGAATGGCGGGGTGGGGAAGAGCCCTGCGAGGGGGAAGGACATGATACAGGCATCAGGGAGGAGGTGAGGGGGCCCAGGGCGCTTCCCCCCTGCATCTCAGGGGGAAACCAACCCTTGCACATGGGAAGCAGACCAGCACTGCACCAGTACTGGGATGGGGGACCTGGGGGCACCCCCTTCTCTCTCTGCACTGCAGATCAGGGCTGCCAGGGGCTCCCAGAGGAGGAAGAGGCAGGAGCAGCTGCTGTCCAGTGAGATAGTAGGGGAGCTGGGAGCCCAGCAGGATGGGGATGGGGACCGGGAGGCACATGTGCCCATGGGACCAGTTTTTGTGCATCCCTCTGGCTCTCCATCACCTGTTTGGCCATGCTCCTTCTCCTGCCGGACGCTTCTTCCTCCTCCCTGGGCAAAGCGGAGGCTACTCCTGGCCTGAGAACCCCAGCCTCCTTAGAGAGAAAGCACCAACCTCATTCCAGCCCACCTCTTGTCCCAATTCCCCCATCCCACTCCTCCAGCCCACCCTCTCCTCCTGTACTCCTGGCCCCTGCAAGCCCGCCTGCCCCAGCTCCAGCACTCAAGCACGGATGGGTCCCCACGGTCCCTTCTTGATCAGGCAGACCCTGGCAGCACCCAGACAACCCTGACAGCACCTGGACCCCACTGGCACCATCTCAAGGCGGGTGCCCCTGGGGATCCCTGCTGTGCTGTCGCTTCTGCCGCACACCATCCCTTCTCCCTGCAAACGCTCCAATGCTGATGCTGGCCCTGACTGAGGGGGTCCCAGAGGGTTGCAGCCACCTCCAGCATCCCCAAAACTGGCAGCACATCTGGGTGCCAGGACTCCTGTGGTGTCACACATGTGGGATAGGAAGAGAGAATAAGAACCTGAGTGCTCACGTGAATCCAGGCGCCGTGGGAAGTGGCCACTGCAGGCTGCAGGAGAGATGGGCAGGGGGTCAGAGGCAGCAGGGGGCAGACCCCAAACCCTGGGGCAGTGGCGGGGGATGCTCACCACAGTGCTGGCTCATCTCCTGCCTGACGAAGGCGCGGATCTCATCCTCCTGCCAGGCACATGGAGAGGCAAAGGACCCACGTTGCAACAGGGGATGGTGCAATTAGAGAGGAGGACTACTCCTTTCCCCAGGCCCCAGCAGAGCCAGAGGTGGAGGAAGCCCCTCCATCAGCAGCAGTGGGACAGATCCCACACCCTCTCCCACCCTGTGCCAGCTCTCTCCTGACTCCTTACCATCATGCCCGGCTCCCCCTTCTCTCCACGGAGCCCCTGGGTGCCGGGACTGCCCCAGGGACAAGCAGAAGGGAGGCGGGAGCCTGGCT